CAATCCCTCCCCTTCCTGTTGCGTGTATGCCCCTAGGTCACCCCTCTCCATTACTGTATTTCCTATAGCACAACCCTTTCCTGTGACGTATGTCTTCACATGTAATTAGGGGGCTTGCATGTTCCCAGAGAATATAAAAGCCTTAATTAAGCATTAAATATCTCTCCACATGGACCACCAAGTGAAGCTGAGGTGAGCATTGCTACCATGAAATGTGTTTCACTCCATTATTTCTCTCTTCTATCTCTCACGCTCTCTATGACTTTACTATAATCTTTATGTATTATCGCTGTACAATTGCACCTACCGGACCTGTGATGATGTGTTAGGGGCTGGATTTACCCTTGCACTATTATATGGGGAATATTGTGGGGAATGATTTTTAATTTGAGAATGTGACTGGGATTAATCTCCAACTCACACATGTGAAGGCCTTCCTCCACCAGAGTCTTGGCCCTTCAGAGCCTTTATTATGAGCACAGAGAATTTGTCCATCTACACTCTTTTCCCAGCCCTCCATTTCCCATTAGGGGAGCTGGTGATGTAATAGTTATGTGTCTGACTACTAACTAAAAAGGTGGTGGTTTGAACCTGCAGTGGCTCTTCAGGGAAAAACCTGAAAGATCATAGCCTAGAAAACCGTCTTGGGCAGTTCTACTCTTACATAGGGTCATATGGTGGTGCTGTCAGATAAACTGCAGTTCAAGCCACCAGCCAGAAAAGAGGTAAGGCTATCTGTTACTATACAGGATATAGCCTTAGAAACCCTCTATGAAGTTGAATTGACTCCGTGGCAGCAGGTTTGGTTTTTTTAGATCTTATGAGCCAGAATTGACCAGAGGAAACACCACCATGAAAAATGTACTATTACTTAGTGGTGAAAGACTAAAGCTTTCCACTTAGGATGGATGTCTACTTTTGCCACTTCTACTCAACATTGGACCAGTTATTGCTTGGCAAGCTAGACAAGAATATGAAGGGCTTTCAAATTTGAAGGGTGAAACTATCCGTATTTGCAATTACAGGATTACATGTGTGTATCTATCTCAACTTTGAAAAACCACCAAAAATATTAGAGCTGATGAAGTTTTCAAGACACAAGATTAACATGTTAGATGCCATTGAGTTGGTTCCAATCCACAGTGACCCTCTGTACTACAGAAGGAAACACCTCAAGGTCCTGCGCCATCATCACAGTGGTTCCTGTGTCTGAGCCAGTGTTGCAGCCACTGTGTCAGACCATCTCGTTGAGGGCCTTCCTTTTATTCACTGCCCACCTACCAAGTATGATGTCCTTCTCCAGAGACTGGTCTCTCCTGACAACATGTTCAAAGTATGTAGGACAAAGGCTTTCCATTCTTGCCTCTAAGGAGTACTCTGGCTGTATTTCTTCTAAAACAGACTTCTTTGTCCTTTTGGGAGTCCATGGTACTTTCTGTATTCCTCTGGCACCACAATTCAAATTCACAGATTCTTCTTTGGTCTTTATTTGATATCCAACTTCCACAGTGTGGTAGTTACATAATCTGTTGTCAATTTGAGACTTAGGAGTGAAGGGGTGGAGTTTAGCTTGTCAATCAAGTTGCAGCTTGATGACCTTATTTGGAGGCACTAAGGAGATAAATAGCTCGTTGGAGGCATACACACATCTACTCCCTGTGGGACATTCTGGTTGGCAAGACACATGGAGCTACGCTAGAGCCCTGGAGCTGAAGAAGCCACATGGAGACCCTTGCCAGCACTGAGATGCTTATACCGCCAATGGATCCACAAGACTTTCCACCCACTGGCCTGTGATCTTCCTGTACTTGGCGCCATTGCATGCATTTCATGAGTCTAAGGAAGAATTTATGGACTAGTATTGACATACGGGGTAATAACGGACTTATGGACTTGATCTGGGCTGGGATGTTCTCTCAATATTTAATTGCTCTTGTATATAAAGTTCTCTCACACATATGAGTGCCTATGAATTTGTTTCTCTAGTCTACCTGGACTAACACACACATGCTTATGAGTCAATTGAAAATACCATGGCTTGAGTCAGGTGCACCTTACTCCTCAAAGTAACGTCCTTGCTTTTCAATGCTCTAAAGAGGTTTTGTGTAGCAGACATACCCAGTGCAATGCATCATTTGATCTCTTGACTGCTGCTTCCATGTGCATTGATTGTGGATCCAACCAAAAAACATTCTCAGCAACTTCAATCTTTTCTCCATTTGCCATGATGTTACCTACTGGTCCATTTGTAAAGAATTTGGTTTTCTTTGCAGAGTTGTAATCTGTACAGAAGGCTGCAGTTCTTGATATTTATCAGCAAGTGCTTCGAGTCTTCTTGATGTTTTCAGTTTTTTAAAATTTTTTGAAGATCTTAAATAAACCTTTCCCTAATTCTGATGCTGCCTTTTTATATAATCCATTTCCTCTGATTATTTGCTCAGCATAGATTGAAAAAGATACAACCCTGATACACACCTTTCCTGATTTAAACCATGCAGTATGCCTTGGTTCTGTTCACACAACTGCCTCTTGATCCATGGACAAGTTCCACATGAGCACGATGAAGTGTGCTGGAATTCTCATTCTTCTCAAGGCTCTCCATAGTTTGTTATGATCTACACAGTCTATCTAATTCCTTGGCAGAGTCAATAAAACACAAGCATCTTTCTAGAATCCCCTGCTTTCAGCCAAGAGCCATATGATATCCTTTGCTCCAGGTTCTCGTCTGAATCTGGCCTGAACCTCTGGCAGCTCCCTGTCAATGTACTGCTGCAACCGTTGTTGGGTGATCTTCAGCAAAAATTTACTTGCATGTGATATCACTGATACTGTTCTATAATTTGAGTATTCTAATGGGTCACCTTTCTTTGGAATGAGTACAATTATGGGTCTCTTGCAGTCAGTTGGCCCAATAGCTGTCTTCTAAATTTACTGGCATAGATGAAAAAGTGTCTACACATTAGTAAGGAACAATCTGAAAATGAAATTAAGAAGGCTAATCTGTTTATGGTAGCCTCAAAATAAAACAAAATACTTAGTAATAAATTTGCCAAAGAAGTGTAAGACTTGTGCACTGAAAACTATAAAACATTGGTGAAATGAAAAAGACCTGAATAAAGGGAAAAATATTGTCATGAATTAGAAGACAATGTTAAGATGGAAGAACTCCCCCAAATAATGGACAGAATCAATACAATCCCTTAAAATTGTAACTGCTTCTTTATCTGAAATTAACAAGATGATCACAAAGTTCATTCGGCATTTCAAGGCACTTTCAATGGCCAAAGGACCCCTATGTACAACAGGTTTTGTGTTCAGCTGCTGATAGAAACAGGCAGTTCAAATCACCAGGAGCTCTGAGGCAGAAAAGGCCTTGTGACCTATAAAGATTACAGCCTAGGGATACCTATGGGGCAGTTCTATCTTGCCTTATAGGGTCACTTTGAGTTGGAATAGACAGCACACAACAACTGCAATAGAACAGCTAAAACAATCTTGAAAAAGAGCAAAGTTGGAAGACTCACACCTTCAGATTTATAAACTTATTGGAAAGCTGTAATTATGAAGAATATGAAATGCTGATAGAAGAATAAATGTATAGAAAAATGGAATAAAATACCCATACATCAAAGGTTTCCAACAGGAATGCTAAGGGAATTCAATGGGGGAAAGAATCATTTCCTAAATAAGGATTACTGAAACAACTGGGTATCAAAAGAATGAAGTTAAAAGACTCGACATTATTAAAAAACAAACACCCCAGAATGGATCAAAGACCTGGTGGGTTTCCAAGACTAACTGGTTATGGCAGTAAGAAACCCAGTCTTTCTCTTGCAGAACTGCTGGTGATTTCAAACTGCTGACCTTGAGGATCGCAAACCAATTCAGAACCACTACACTACCAGGGCTCCTCAAAGACCTAAATATAAAAAACTCTTAGAGGCACGGGTATAAATTTGCAGGACTAGATTAGACAATGGTTTCTTAGATCCAATACCAAAGGTACAAGCAGCAAAAGAAGAAATAGATAAATTGGAGTTTATTAAGTTTAAAACTTTTGTGCATCAGAGGACATGACCATGGTGAAAAGGCAGCTCATTTAATGGAAGAGTATTTGGAAATGTATATCTGATAAGGGTCTGGTATCCAGGATATATAAAAAAGCAAAACTCTTCCATGCAGAAAAAGAATGTTTGGAAATTGATAGTGGTAGCAATTGTAAATTCTACTTGACATGATTGAAATATGGAATGACATATATGTATTAAGTCCCAACTTAAAATCTTAAAACCCAACAATTAAAGGACAGAGGGCCAGTTAAAAAATGGGCAGAGTATTTGAGTAGACATTTTAATAAAGAAGGTATGAAAATGACCAATAAACCAAAATCAAACTCCATTGCACTCATAGTGACCCTGCAGGACAGCGTATAATTGCCCCTGTGAGTTCATAAGACTATTAACTCTTTACGGAAGTAGAAAAACCATCTTTCTCACAGAACAGCTGGTGGTTTTGAACTGCTGACCTTGTAGTTAGCAGTCCAACGTATAACCACTACACCACCAGGGTTCCTAAATTACCAATAAACACATGAAAAGATGCTGAAGATTACTAGTCCCTTACTACCATCATGTTAATTCTGATTCATAGCGCCTCTATAGGACAGAAGTAGTACTGCCACTTTTGGGTTTCTGAGGCTAAAAGCCTCATTTTTATCTGGAAGAGTAGTTAGTGCAGTGGTTCTCAACCTTCCTAATGCAGTGACCCTTTAATACAGTTCCACCTGTTGTGACCCCCCCAATCATAAAATTATTTTCGTTGCTACTTCATAACTGTAATTTTGCTACTGTTAGGAATTGGGTGACCCTGTGAAAGGGTCGTTCAACGCTCAAAGGAGTCACGACTCACAGGTTAAGAACCGCTGGCCTAGAGGCTTTGAGGCCTGGGGCTAGGCCAAAGATAAAGAGAATGAAGGGAAGTCATCCCTGTCTTTATTGCAGTGGTGTGGTCCATCAAAGAGCTGACTGGGGCAGCATCCATGAGAAGATATGTCAGCTCCTCATTCCACTGCGCACGACTATGCCCTTCTACAATTCCGAGGAAGAGCGTCAGCATGGCCTGCAGCAGCTGCAGCAGCGGCAGGTAAGCCCGATAGGACTAGTACAGGGTTACCTCCTGGGTGCCGGGAGTTGCGCTGTGTTGGAATCATGACATTGTAAGTTCCGTGAGGGTAGAGACTATTTTTTGTCTTTTATCCTTGGTCCTATTTGTAGTATGTCTACATATTTTCCAAAACTTGTATATGTTAACTGCCATACAAGGAGATCGCTTTTTTTTCTCTCCCCCTTCCACAGAAACATTTGATTGAGTTCTGCTACACGGTAGCCCAAAAATATATTTTTGAAGGAAAATATGAAGAAGCTGTTCCAGCAGCTTTGCATTCTCTCCGGTTCCGCATGAACATGCATGGCCTGAGCTCAGTAGAGCTTGTGCCTGCTTACCTGCTGTTGTCGGAGGCTAGCCTTGGTAAGTGAGACGAACTAGAGACCCCTGAATCCCTCGCAGAAGTGCTCCAGTGGATTATACGAGAGGCCAGCCATACCAGTGATACCGTTCTGCATTCTGGGATGCTGTCATTGTGAGGTGCCATCAAGTCTGTTCTGACTCATAGAAACCCTCTGTCCAACGGAGCAAAACTCAGCTGGGTCCTATGCTATCCCAACGGTTGATCTTATGTTTGAACCCATTGTTGTAGCCTCTATGTCAGTTTATCTTGTTGAGGGGCTTCCTCTTTCTCGCTGGTCCGCTACTTTACCAAGCATCCTGACCTTCTCCAGGGACTGCTTTCCCCAGACAACATGTCCAGAGTACCATAGATGGAGTTTTGTCATCCTTACTTCTGAGGAGCATTCTGGTTATATTTCTTCCAAGACAGATTTGTTTGTTTTTTTGGCGATCCGTGGTACTTTCAATATTCTTCGCCAGCACCATAATTCAGACGCATTTATTCTTCTTCATTTTTCCTTATTCAATTGTCAACTTTCATATATTGAAAATACCATGGCTTGGGGCAGGTGCATTTTAATCCTCAAAGTAACCTCCCTGATTTTCAGCATTCTAAAGCGGTCTTGTGCAGCAGATGTACCCAATGCAATGTGTTTTTTGATCTCTTGCTTGCTGCTTCCATGTGCGTTGATTGTGGATCCAACCAAGAAGAAATCTTTGACAACTTCCATCTCTTCTTCACTTATCATGATGACACTTATTAGTCCAGTTGTGAGGATTTTGATCTTCTTTACATGGAGTTGTAATCCCTACTGAAGGCTAAAACCTTGATCTTCATCTACCAGTGCTTCAAGGCCTCCTTACTTTTAGCAAGCAAGGTAATATCATCTGCAAATCACAGGTTGTTAATAAGCTTTTCTCCAATCCTGATGCCACATTCTTCTTCATATATTCCAGCTTCCTGGTTATTTGCTCTGCATACAAATTGAATAAGTGTGCTGAGAGGATACAACCCTGATGCACACTTTTCCTGATTTTAAACCATGCAGTATGCCCTTGATCTGTTCACACAACTGCCCCTTCCGTGTACTAGTTCCACATGAACATAATGAAGTGTGCTGGAATTCCCATTCTTCTCAAGGCTATCCATAGTTTATTATGATCCACATAGTCCAATACCTCAGCAATAAAACACAAGTAAACATCTCTCTGGGATTCTTTGCTTTGAGCCAAGATCTATCCGACATCAGCAATGATTTCCCTTGTTCCACATCCTGTTCTGAATCTGGCCTCAAGCCCTGGAAGTTCCCTGTCAATGTAATGCTGCAAGGATTGTTATGTTAGTCCAAGTGGACTAGAGAAACAAATCCAGAGGCACTCATATGTGCATAAGAGAGAACTTTATATCAAAGAGATATTGTCCATTAAGAAAACATCCCAGCTCAGTCCAGATCAAGTCCGTAAGTCTGATAGTATCCCATATGTCTGATACCAATCTATAAATTCCTCTTCAGACTTAGGCAACACATGCATGCCACTGAATGTAGGAAATCACAGGCCAGTGGGTGAAAGGTCTTGTGGATCCAGTGGCAGTAAAAGCATCCCAGTGTCTCAGTGCTGGCATGGGTCTCCACATGGCTCTTTCAGCTCCAGGGCTTTGGCTGTATCAGTGTAGCTCCATCAGGCTTGTCAACAAGAATGTCTCACAGATAGACAAGGAGAGAGTAGTATCTGGCCTCCAGTGAGCTCTTTTTCTCCTTTGCACCTCCAAATGAGGTCATCAAGCTGTGATCTGATTGACAGGCTAGATTCCACCCCTTCGCAAGTTGACAGGATATTACGTAACTGCCACAATTGTTGAATCATCTTCCACAAAATTTTACTTGCATGTGATATTAATGATATTCTATAATTTGAGCATTCTGTTGGGTCACCTTTCTTTGAAATGGGTACAAGTATGGATCTCTTCCAGTCAGTTGAACAAGTAGCTCTCTTCCAAACTTCCTGGTATAGATGAGTGTTTCCAGTGATTCATCACCTTATTGAAACATTTCATTGGATTTTCCAATGATGTTTGGAGTCTTTTCTTCAGATGAGTGCTGGTGGCATAGTGGTTATGAAGTAGGCTGCAATCCAAAAGCTCAGAAGTTTGAGACCACCAGCCGTTCCACAGGAGAAAGATGGGGCTTTATACTCCTGTAAAGTGTTCTGGTCTTGGAAACCCACAGGGGCAGTTCTACTCTGTCCTGCAGGATTGTTAGGAGTTGGCATAGACTTGTGGGCAGTGAGTTTCTTTTTGGTTTGCTTTCAGTTATTGCTTTCAGTGCAGATTGAACTTCTTCCTTAGGACCATTAGCTCTTGCTCCTATGCTACCTCCTGAAATGGTATAATATCAACTAGTCCTTTTTGGTACACAGTGACTCTGTGTTTTCTTTCAGTACTCTTTTGGTACTTCTTGCATGTTTTTGGCCAGGTTGACTAGAGAAACAAATTCAATGATGCTCATATGTGTAAGAAAGAGCTTCATATCAAGAAGTAATTATGCGTCAATAAAACACCCAGCCCAGTCCAACTCAAGCCCATAACTTCCACACTAGATCATAAGTCCCTCTTCAGACTTACACAGCCATGTATAATTATGCAGAATACAGGAAGATCTCAGGCCAGTGGGTGAAAAGTCTTGTGGATCCCATGGTGATGGATGCATCTCCAGGGCTCTGGCAGGTCTCAGAGTAGCTTGCCAGCAGGAAGGTGAAAGCAGAGAGATGGGGGAAGGTTTACAGGGCCTTCCTTATAACAAGGCCATGCCCACAGGAGGCACCATCAGGCTGTGACCTGATAGGTTGGACTCCCCTCCTACACTTTTTTAAAAAAAATCATTTTATTGGGGGCTCATACAACTCTTATCACAATCTATACGTTCAGCCATTGTGTCAAGCACATTTGCACATTTTTTGCCATCATCATTCTCAAAATATTTGCTTCCTGCTTGATACCCTGGTATCAGCTCCTCATTTTTCCCTTCCCTTCCCACTCCCCCCTCCCTCATGAACCCTTGATAATTTATAAATTATTATTATTTTGTCATATCTTACACTCTCCGACATCTCCCTTCACCCAATTTTCTGTTGTCCATCCCCCAGGGAGGAGGTTATATGTAGATCCTTCTAATCGGCTCCTCCTTTCAACCTCCCCTCCCTCGACCCTCCCTCTACTCTCAGCACTTGTCCTGAAGGGATCATCTGTTCTGGACTCCCTGTGTTTCCAGTTCCTATCTGTACCACTGTACATCCTCTTATCTAGCCAGATTTGTAAGGTAGAATTGGGATCATGATAGTGGGGGGAAGAAGCATTAAAGGACTAGAGGAAAGTTGTATGTTTCATCATTGCTATACTGTACCCTGACTGTCTTGTCTTCTCCTCGAGACCGTTCTTGTAAGGGGATGTCCAGTTGCCTACAGATGGGCTTTGTTGCCTACAGATGGGCTCTGGGTCCCTACTCCGAACTCCCCCTCATTCACAATGATACAATTTTTTGTTCTTTGATGCCTGATAACTGATCCATTTGACACCTCATGATCACACAGGCTGGTGTGCTTCTTCCATGTGGACTTTGTTGCTTCTCAACTAGATGGCCGCTTGTTTACCTTGAAGCCTTTCAGACCCCAGATGCTTTATCTTTGGATAGCTGGGCACCATCAGCTTTCTTCACCACATTTGCTTATGCACCCATTTGTCTTCAGCGATCGTATCAGGAGGGTGAGCACACAATGATATGACTTTTTGTTCTTTGATGCCTGATAACTGATCTCTTCGACACCTCATGACCCCACAGGCTGTTGTGCAAATAGACTTTGGGGCCAGAGCTTGGCACCCCATCAGACTCGACCAGAAAACACTCCTAAAGGCCAACAAACAGTCCTTGAACTAACTACAGGCTTTTCTTTCTTATTGTGTTTTATTTTTTTATTTGGTCATTGGTTTGTCGTTGTTGTTTTGTTGTCTGTTGCTGCTTGGTTTTGCTCTGTCTTGTTTTTGTGCATGTTATTATCTCCGCAGGTCTGTCTAAATAAGATAGGCTGGATGAACAATCTAGAATAGAAAATAACGGGACCTACACTCTTATATATCAAGTTGACATGAAATTCTGTAACTACCACATTGTATCATTCAATATTTTACCCATAGAATCTTTCAATATTGCAACTCGAGGCTTGAATTGTACTTGAGTTCTCTCAGTTTAAGACATGCTGAGCATGTCCACTTTTGGGTGTTCTAACTCTAGGTCTGCACACATTTCATTATAGTATCTTCCTTTGTGTTCTCGAGCTGCCCTTTGACATTTTGTGTCCAGCTCTTTTATTTCCTCATTTCTTCCATTTGCCTTAGCTACTCTATGATTACAAGCAGTTTTAAGAGTTTCTTTTGATGTTCATTTTGTTCCTCAATATCTCCATGATTTCATGACTGACACTTTATAGACTGCCTCTCTGTTTGTTTTGATGAATGTCTCCTCCTGACTAGATTCAGGTTGAAGGGTTTTGACAGTAATTATCACAGACACACTCCCGCATTCTTCTCATCCCATCCCCTCAGTGGACACTATTCCTCACACGACCGATGCAGCCTGCCTTGTCCAGCCCTGGTCAAATGCTCATCTCCTCGGGCATTGGTTGTGCTCACCCTCCCAGTTGCACTGAAGGGAGCCCTAGAGGTGTAGGGGTCACACTAGGGGTCACACACTAGCGCTTCCGCTCTCCGCTCCACTAGACTGTACGTCCGGGAGGAACTGGGACTGTCTCTTCTTACTCACCATTGAGTCTTCAGGGGTCCTCATGGCACAGTGTGGACACGTTGGCCTGCTAACTGTAAGCGCGGCAGTTCAAAATCACCAGCCACTCCGTGGGAGAAAGGCGTTCTCCTCCTGAAAAAGCCACAGTTCTACTCAGTCCTATAGGGTCACCATGAGTCGGAATTGACTCAGCGGCAGTGAGTTTTTATAGGGTCCACAGCACCCAGC